TAAATTCTACATAGATCTCATATATCATATGTTAATTTTTATAAGTTTAAAATTCCCGATAAAAGTGGTCACTACCGCCGAACCCGAGGTGGGTACGGCCATATAGATTATATCATTAGACTCCTTATGTGCTGTACTTTCATTTTATATTGTCAAATCCCGGGTGCCAGCTTAGCCTGAATCCCCCATCGTACTTTATTGTAAGCTTTTTTGGAAGCTTGCGTGCTACTGAATAAGTCTGTTTTGAGGCTCTATAGTGTTAAACAAAAAGTTAATGCAATAATTTCCCATAAGTTAAATTTAATTAATTTTTAAAATAAATTAATAATATTAAGAATAATACAGTGAATTGTATTTAAAGTTTACACCAGTTAAACATTAAACGATAAATATTTATTACAATATGTTAGATAAACACCACAAATAGTTAGTTTAAATTTTAAAGTGACCCAAACAGTACTAATACGTAATTTTATTAGATTTAGTCAATGTAATAATTTATCTTGTATCTTTGCAACTGTACTTTGATTTCTTGACCACAAAAGCGAGAACAAACTGTAGGGAACCGGTCGTACCTGCGAGTGATACGGCCCCCCTTCATGTTTATGATTAATAAAAGCACTGATTAATCCTAAATTATTAATAGAATGTTCATGAATATATTCATTTAATTTATTATAACTAGATAGTTTAATTAAACTGTCTTAATTGAATTAATTCACATTAATTAACATGTAACATTCAGTTATTATTAAAGACTGAACTTATATTTAAGAATTACTTGCTTTATATTCAATATAATATTGATTAAAAATGTCTGAAATATTTAATTATATTTACTAACGATTTTTCATATATCTATTGGTTGTTAAGTAATATTAACATGAAATCCATATATTCAATTGTTTTGTTATTTATTGACATGCTTAAAGTTTAGAATATTCGTTTAAATATAATTTTTAACAATTTTTATAAATATTTTAAAGTTTCAAAAATTTTAGTTATGTTTATATGGGGATAGAAATCTGTTTTATTGTAGCCGTCATAATGGGATTAAATTTAACTAATAATTATATAAAATATAACTTATTTTTGCATATATTTTTACTAATAATGCATTTTCCATCCTTAATTAATATTTGTGTACATATTTATTTTAAATAAATTATTTATGTAAAAATAACTTTTGCCAAAATAATTCTTAGTATATGATTCGGATAGATTTTTAATCAAAACTTAGCTAAATATTACCCCTAAAAATATGTGATTATGTATTTTAGAAGTCTTTAGTTATTATAAAATATTGTGCAAAGTTTAAATTTCAAACATTTTATAAAAAATTGTAATTTTAAGATATTTCTTTATTTAACCGCGGTAATTCATTTTACCAAAATTATTATGATTGGAGCCCTTATATAACTAGAATAATGATTAATCGTAAAACTTAGTCAACATCCGTCGGGTGCGGGCGATAACGGTATCATTTTTGGTAAATATGGGCTGTGATGGACAGTTTAGATTGCTCCAGATTGGACCATCATTCCAAATCTATTATAATGATTTAATAATTTACTTAATAATTTATATTATTGAACTACCACGGGTATAAATGTGAATGGCATGTATCATATTATTGTTATCCGAATAATAAAGATATCCAGTCGTTCAAAAAAACTTGTCGCCACAAGAATCGTTATATTTCCCGAACGGAATGAGCTAGATCAAATCTGTAAACTGTAAAATGATGGTCCACATATCTAGTTTTTTCTGACAAAAAATTATTAAAGTCACGTGACTAGAACATGGAAATTTTTGGGTCATTTCGAAATGCTATGGTTTTAGCCCAGTTGAAAGGGGGTTGGAAGGAGGCGGGTATGCTATTTGGAAGAGGAGATGTGAAAGTATATTATAGCAAAGTTTGATAAACATCGAATAAATATTTTTTTGTAACGAACAAAATATTCAACAAATTTGACACAATATTTGGCCAAAAATTGCCCAATTTTGACCTTTTTATACTACATTTTAGTAGTTATAAAAGGTCGACTTCAGAACCATTTTTCCCCATAGACCTAATGTTAATAAAATTGACAATTTCTCGTAAATGGCTGAACTAATCTTAGTCAAACTTTCCTATAATATACTTTCACATCTCCTCTTCCAAATAGCATACCCACCGCCTTCCGACCCCCTTTTCAACTAGGCTAAAACCATAGCATTTCAAAATGACCCAAAAATTTTCATGTTCTAGTCACGTGACTTTAATAATTTTTTGATACAAAAAACTAGACATGTGCAACTCTGTTTTACATTTTACAGAATTGATCTAGCTCATTTTGTTTGGGAGATATAACGATTCTTGAGGCGATAAGTTTTTTTGAACGGCTTAATAACAATATTAAAAATTTTATTTTCATTTTTGTTGAATAGTTTAATGTTTTTATTGCAATTATTGCAACTATAAGGTTTGCTTATTAGCCATACTTTAAACTAGTAATAATAATAATAATCAATTTAGTGTTTTTCTAACAAATAAACAGAAAAACAAAATGGTAAAACAAAAATTAGTACCTGTATTAAAAACATGCGGTGAAATAACCATAGTACAATTTGATTCCATAGGGTAGGAGTGCCCAGAATACGGGTGTTGAGGAAAATTCTTTCGGGCGCCAAACTGATAGCCGACACGATTGACAGCGCGGGCGTAACCCCTGGTATACCGATGTATTTGATGTGGCACTCGGCGTATGTGGGTGTGCACAACTTTTGCTCCATATGCATGGTGGTCGCTTTGCGGTTAAATAGATATAGCTCGTACAATACGACCAGCGGGCTATCCTCAGTGCCATCGCCCGTTATAATAAACTTGGTGCTCAACACGCCCCTAATGAAATGTGCATGCACATAGTGGTGGTGCTCGATGTCAATTAGGTTTTCCATTGCTTGCTATCAATAGAATAAATTTAATAATTTGTATTCAATTTTTCACTTTTAATTAAGGGTTGTAAATATTAATCATAATTATTCAACAATTTATAAATTAAATAAAATTATTACTTAAGCTTTACTTATGTTAATATTAAGTATGTAATACAGGGTTTACACTGCCATAAGTGAAAAGTACCTGCACTGATGTGTATATCTTGTAGGTGTATTTTGAGAGTACTGTAATGTTGGGAATGTTGTACTTCTTGGACAGGTCTGGGAGGCAGTGGTCGGGCTCTGCATCGCTGCTGTGATGCCAGACGTATATCATGTCGTTTCGCTCCATCACTCGCCACCGCTTAACCCTTGCATTCAATGCTTTCAATTCGCTTTCTATTGGTGTATAAAATATAATAAATAAAATATTGTTAATTAATAAATTACTAAACATGGTAATTTATATTTTGCAATTATATAATTATTCTACAGTTAAAATTTACTCCTTAATAAGATAATTATACAGTGCATAATGTTTCACACCTTTATTTACTTTCCCAGATACAGCCCGGTTTAACTAAACTACAATCAATTGAGGTAATACTAAATATGACTGATTTACAGTACATAGGAACATTTACTTTAACTAATTGTCAAAAAATATTAAATAAAGACATCAAATATTACGCTTACTTTCGAGATTAGGTATGCGTTTGCACTGTCCGTCTCCGCCAAACCTCCAGCCATGGAATGG